GCATCATTTCTATAAAGAATGAGAGAAATAACCGGAAAGGAGTATTAGGACCCTGATACACATATGGCACTGCCAGGCACTAAACAGGGTATATGCCTAAGGCCAAATTGCTGCCCCCTAGGAGCTTACAGTTATAACAATACAAGGTGGAAAAGCACCACAATGTACAGAATACAAAATGCTGAAGGATTTTAGAAGAAAATTACAGCTGAGTTTCAGCTATTAAAATATTAGGATACCCAATAGCTTTCTGAGAGAGCTAGTAGTAAACCCATCCCTGAGGGAAGCAAAAGTTTTTAATGTCCTTAGACAACAGACCCTGCTAGAACTGGGCATGAAGCCAGTTCTAAAAGGAAGAAAAACACCACACACACACACACACACACACACACACACACACACACACACACACAGAGAAAACCTGGGTATGAAAACTAGACTGAAGGGTGAACTGAGTAAGCAAATAAAATGTGGTGCCTTCCCTTCTCTTCCCACATCCTGAACTTTAGCAGCTCTGGCCTTCCTACAGGGAACCTGGACTGGTGATCCCTGAAGATTCTCCATATTTCTTCTACAAGCATATTAGGAACCGTACTGACCAATCCTCTGAGCCATCTGTATCATCTGTAAAATGGAGGAGTTGGAAAAATCATGTATTAAGCCTTTCCAGCACTAACAATGTTTTTCTATGATTGAAAAACTACAGGAGTCTTAAGTCTTTCCTGTTGGAGAGATTCAGAATTGGGGGGGGGGGCGGGGGGGGAGAAAAACCAAGATAATATTCTGATTTTTCCTCACTTAAAAATGTTTTTCCATATAAATCACAAATAATTCCTATTCCATTAGCTAAAGGCTACTTTAGTTCAACCCTCCCTTCAATATCTCTAACATCTACTTATACATGAATTTATTTTTAAAACATGTCCTACAAGCTACTCTAGTTAAATGTGCACCCAACTGTAAAGAGAGAGAAAGAGAGAGAACGAGCAAGAGCAAGCAAGTCCACCCTCTTCTTTCCTATGCCAGCTTCATGGTGTCTTCATTCAGTGCATACACAATCTTCACAACAAAATTTTAAAATGTGAACAAATCCAAAGTAGAACAGGTAATATCAAAACATGGTAAATACCAGCAACCAAAATGGCTTTAATTGCAGCAATAGTTGAAATTGTTTCTGCCCAGATTGATACAATCTTCCCTCTAATTACTACCAAAAATATAGGCAAACATCTCTTAAGTGGATTCCTGAAAAACAAATACTTGCTAAAGTATTTCAAAATGAATTGATAAATACTTTAAACTTGCTTTAAAAAAAAAAAAATCCTAACACATGCTGTACCACCCATCCCTTGCAAACCTGTGACTGGCCATATTTCAAAGTATTAAACATTTCTGTTATTACTATAACCAACCACATCACACTTACAGAATTAACAGTGGAATAAAAAGAAAAAAGAAAAAGCTACCAGGCTCAAGTTGGAAGCCAGGGAGTAGAAAGACTATCCACAAAATTTTCAAAAAATATAAACAGAATTGAATATAATCTTGATTTTAAGCCATAAACATAATCAAAACCAAAATTGGTTAAAGGTGACTTCTAATCAACTTTTCACTCATTCAGGTCATGCTTTCAGACAGTGACATGAAAACATGAGCAAGACAGTCTAATTTATTGTTCTGAGCTAAAAACATATCTACTAAGAATGTGCAGAATTAAAGTTTTATCAAGTGTGTCACCATTTTTCCCTTACTATAGAGTTCACAAGCCTACCTGTGGTCCCTAGAACCTCAACATCAAGTGAACAAATATAAACCCCAAATGGCATTACTTTAAGACCAGAACTCCTTATTTCACTGTCTGTAGTGCCATACGGCTATCATTGAACCAGCAACCTTCATCTGCTCCCCCATTCCACACAGGACATTGCCCAGTTTTTAAAGCACTGTGGAAGGCTGTCTCCAACTGCCTGTTGACTACTTTTGGTATATAAGAAGTTAGCTAAAATCCCCACATTCCTTCTTTTACAAGGTTAAAAATTGTTGAACTAAAGTCAGAAATTATCTCATCTGTATGCAGTTCTGCAGATTCTTTTAAATAGCACAAAAATAAAACGGAAACGACATCTTCAGATCAGTAGCTTTGACAAAAGCAACCATTTACTTAAAACAAATAAGTCATTCAGCATAAATCATTGCCTACAAATCTAAACTTCATGGAAAGATTATTTCCATACTGAGACTAACCGCTTTCTATAAAGTGCAACATTTTCCACTAAATCACTAAATTCTAGAAGGGTCTTCAAAAAAGGGCTGAAAAAAAGTGTCAAGAATGGCAATTGTATGTATAAAACAATTATAAACTCACTTGAATTATAGTAAAAATATTGTGATCATCTACATTCAGATTTCAAATTTATATCAAATGAATTATCCAAATAGATTTTTTAAAAATGCAGAAACAGGGGTTGGGGATGTGGCTCAACCAGTAGCGCGCTTGCCTAGCATGCGTGCGGCCCGGGTTCAATCCTCAACACCACATACAAACAAAGATGTTGTGTCCGCCAAAAACTAAAATAAATAAATAAGTATTTTAAAAAAAAAAAAAATGCAGAAACAGTCAGGCATGATGGTACATGCCTAAAATCCTAGCAAGTGAGGAGGCTGAGGCAGGAGAAATGCAAGTTCAAGGCCAGCCTCAGCCACTTAGTAAGAACCTGCTCCAAATAAAAAAATAAGAAGGCAGGGAATGTAGCTCAGTGGTAAAGCGCCCCTGTGTTCAATCACCAGTTTAAAAAAAAAAAAAATTAAGAACAAGTTTACTATTTTATGTTACTATACAATCTGCAAATATCAAAAGAAGACCTAAATCCAAGTTCAATGATTTGATTTGCATTAAAGTAAGTGAACAGTAATGATAAACTTGTTCTGAATATATTTCAGACTGAGGTCTCCATATAGTAGTAATTTTATTATAGAAATCCTATTCACTAAATATGCCATTCAAATATAAATAAGTAAACATGATTCTACAGAAAAAACAATTTTGAAAGTCATTCTGCTCCTTGCTACACAGATGACTTTTAAGGCCTCATAATTTACCTGTTCTAATGCCATTTCTTCCATCTGTTTTATTGAGGATAACACCATGTAATCTACAGAGTAGATGTGAGAATTAAGTTTTCTAACTTAAAACTGAAGTGCAATTAAACTAATGCTGTGGTAGTAATCCAGTCATCCACAATCAGATAATTATTTTTGGATTATCCTTTTCACTACTCCCTAACAGTAGCTCAAAAGACTTGAGAACACAGGAATACAATCTCACTAAGAAATAAAAATATTTTTAAAAAGCCAAGATCTACATATTATTTATCCATTTATTTATTTATTAGTTGTAGATGGACACAATATATTTATTTATTTTTATGTGGTGCTGAGGATTGAACCCAATGCCTCACACATGCAAGGCAGGTGCTCTACCACTGAGCTATAGCCCCAGCCCCCAAGATGTATATTCAACAAGCAGGTCTTAAAAGACCAAAACACACCAAACCAAATTAAATTCACCCAGTTAAAATATTTATGGGTCAAAAATCTCAAGCTCATTAGGCAAAGTATTATGAATTGGGCTATTCCTACAAATAAAAATTTGTACGTTAAAATCTGAAAGTTTTATGTAATAAGCTGCTGCTGCCTACAGAAATCTTAGAGCAACGTATTTCACTTCAACTTTCCAGCAGTGTCAATATATGCATCTTTATGCTCTCATGTTTATTCTGTAAGCAATAATGTAAATAATGGTATTGGGATTCTTAACAGTGTCAACTATGATGCTAAATCCTATTTCTTAGATCCAATGCCATTCAAAACCCCACATCCATCCCAATTCTGATGACTTGAAATTATTTAGGAAACAACTTTTGTTTTCTGAGATTATGCAACAATTCCTTGCAACATTATAAGCAGCCATATAGCACATATTGCTATACCTCTCCCCATTTAAACATTCATTTACACACACACACACACACACAAAAAAAATGCACGTGGCCGTACAAAAAATAGGAATTATTAATTACTTAGAACAGATGCTATTCTAATTCCTCAGAGAGATTTACATTTCCTAATTATTTATCTGAGGCTGAATTTCACTTCCTTCACTAGTTTCCCTAATCCCACTGTTCCACTTACCCACAGGAGTAGGGACCATTAGTGTTCTCAATGGGATTGCTTTACTTTTGCAAAACATTTGGTATCCTTGGTCCCCACCCAATATATGTTATTGCCCCCCACAACCCTTCCAAATCTCACATTTCCAAATGCTCTCCAGGATGTACTAACAGCACTAACTCAAGAAATAACTATATCAAGTTAGTGCCCTTAAACTTCTAATTAATATGAACTTGTTTTTTTAAATGCACAACTTTGTACTCAATTATAAAAAGTAATTTCTAAGCTATCTTTAATTTATGACCTTGAAGTTACTGCCAATTTAAAGCTTTTTTTTTTTAAATCAAAAGCTTAATATAAGCTATGAATTTGCAAGTTGATTTCTTTCCAATTATCACTAATCTGGGCCAAATAAAGTGATTATCAAAGAGTTACTTAAAATGATCCACAAAACAGGCACGTAACTCGGTTACATAAATTTCTTTATGTGAAGGAGATGATGGCAATTTTCAAATAGCTGAGGTATGGAGACTAAATTGATAACATCACTTCAGTCTTAACTAACCTGTTCACAAAAAAATCTACAATTTCTCAGCAATGGTGAAACAAAACTGCTATTTCTATGTTATCCTCAAATGAAAAGTCCTAAGCATGAACACTGTTAAGAGTAAATAAACTAAATTTGACTAACCTGGTTGCCCTAATTATAACAAGTTACCAATATAAAGGCTTGTCTCACACATGTAAACAAAACCTTCACCCACCTCACACACAGCACTCAACAGATAACATACTATATAAAATGAGTATTATTAGTCTATATTGCCAGATTAAATTTTCTTCCAGAAATATTTTAATAAAAATTGGCCATTTCCAAGAAACACCCACTGCATGCCCATCAATAAAAGAGAACCATAACAAAATAGAAAATTTACCATATGGCTATGATTTAAAGAAAAAAAAATTGCAGACACTAAACACATCAGCAAAGTCCAATATTAAAGTTGCATTCCTTCTTATGGGCTATGATTAAGAATCTGATTAGATATCAAAATAAAACTTAATACAAATGCTTAACTATTTAGGTCAAACGACCTCTACAAAAGTATCTGTCCTCCAAGGCATTCCAGTTTGAGACTCAGTTTTAGAATAAGGCATAACAAATATTAACAAAAGACATACAAGGTGATGAAAAGAGGAACTCCACAATTCCCCACATACTCTGAACCTAATAAAACAAATCTAATTTTTTTATTATTATTATTTTTCTTTAAACAACTGCCAAGATTGGAACCAAAGATAAATAGAAGGCACAACAGTTTTTGCTCTGGTTGTTATTTGGTTGGGGGGATTTTTTTTCTTTTTTTTTTTTTAAACAAATACAAATGAAACATGAAAAAACTCTACTTCAAAAGAATCTAACAGTTCAAGAAAAGCCTATTAATTGCATTCTAGACATTTAAAACCTATCTCACAATTTAAATTTCAATGGTAAAAACAGTAGGTTTTAGAATTATTTTGTGATCACATATCAAAAGAAAAAAGTTCTATTAACACCTTTTATTCAGTTTTTAACCACATCAGGGAGAATCAAATGTCAAATTTTCCAATGGCAATTTTTCCACATCAGAAGGTAGTCGTAACTCTCAAAGAATAAACAATTTGGATTTTTCCTGCCTCCAAAATGCTTATCAAATCCTGCATTCCTCACAGGTTTTGAAACATGTAGAAAATAAGTAAGAAATATTCCAATGAATGAAACATACCAAATGTCAGTAATAAGCAAGACACATTCCTTTGGGGAAATGGCTGTTTAAAAAAAAAAAAAAATTCCAGTCTGTATATGCAAAGTAAGCAAGGAAATTCAGTCTTTTCGTTTTTTCTTCTTTAAAAATTCGTTACTCCTAAAATAGCGTTCCACAAAACTGGAAGTGAAGGACTAAAAGGCCAGGAGAAGGGAAAAGGGAAGGAGCACACACCATTAACACAAAAAGAAGTAAAATTGTACAAACTTAAGCAGTTTATAAGACTAGGATCATCATACTCCAAGATAACAAAGGCTGGTTGAAGAAATTCACCATTCTGCAGAAGCTGGGGTTTTTATGCTTCATGAAGACCAGTGAAGAGCAATTCACTGCCGTGGAGCAATCCCCCTTCCCACTCCAAATCCTGGTTTCTGCACCATGCCTCCACGGGGAGGGCCTCTCATTCCACCGCCCAGCCCACCTCGAGGGCCTCCAGGTCCCCGCAGGCGGTTATCTCGACGGTCCCCTTCCCGAGCAGCTCGAGTCTTCTTCTCTTCCACATTCAGTCGGACTTCACCTCTGAACATGATTGGCTGGAAGAAATCAAGGTAACCAGACTCAGCGCTTATGAACTACACCTACCAAAAGTAAAATGACGCTACCATAAAGAACCAGCAGCTTACAAATCAGTCAAGTTCTTGCAATCAATTTTTGTTTTAAGCTCAGACAACATATTTTCCTGTTAACAAAAGCACGGAAATGTGGTAAGGTAGGCAGGCTAGTTAAAAAAAGCCAAATTAAACAACATAAGTAATTGTCATTATATTTACTTAACAAATCCTAAACAGGATAATACAAATGAATTGCCACCTTCTCCATGGATTTAGAGGCTTAGGCTAAAACTTCATCATAGAATATGCAGAGATGGTACTATACATATTTATTCTAAGTACATTCTCATCTCAAAAAAATGTCATTATACTGAGGCAAATAAAATTCTAGACACTAGCAAATTAAAGGCCAGGGAAGTTAAGACACTTGTCCCTTACAAGTGACAAGAGTAAGTCTATGGGTCACTGGACTAGTGAATGGGAGAAAAGGAATGTAATCCACGGCCTCCTGTCTGGGAAATATAAGCTTTAAACCACTGTGCTATATTACAACATAACATAGTGATCAATGTTGCATAAACTATTTCTGTACTCACAAAACATTATTGAAGAGAGCACAGCAGCAGACTTCTACCTATGCAGTAAAATGAAGAAAAGGCAAGATACATCTATGGTTAACCCCAAAGAAGGAGTAATCTCCAAGTACAATTCCCAGATAGGTCTTAATGGGTTAAACATGATGGAATAAATTACATTTTACATATAAAGACACAGCTTAAGGATGAATACACTCTAAAGAACCAAAACATACCTATATTTCAAACATAAAAAAAGGAAGAAATCAAGATAAAAAACTGCTTACTCTGTTACTAAGAACTTTCTGAACAGGCTCAGAATCATCGAATACAACAAAACCAAAATTGGGTAATTTTCCACCACTGTTTATGCGCAGCTCCACCACATTCCCATAATCTGCAAGTGAAACAGATTTTCAAATAATGTATTAGCAGAAAGTTCCCTCTTAAATGTTAGATGTACACTGTTCAGTATCACTAGACACTGAGCACCTCAAATATATCTAGTCCAAATGGACATGTACCTTGAGTGTAAAATACACACTGGATTTCAGAATTAGTATTTTAAAAAAATAAAAAAGGAAAGCAAAACACAGGCTGAGTATCCCTTATCTGAAATGCCTAAGAACAAAAGATTTCAGATTTTCTTTTATTATGAAACATTTATAAATGTATAAAAGATATTTGAGGGATGGAATCCAAATCTTAACACATGAGGTCAAGTGTGGATTTTTTTTTCTTTTTCTTTTTTTTTTTTTTTGGTGGTGCTGGGGATTGAACCCAGGGCCTGTGCATGTAAGACAAGCACTCTACCAACTGAGCTGTATCCCCAGCCCCAGGCGTGGAAATTTTCATCTGTGACATAATGTTGACACGCAAGAGTCAGGTTTTAGAGGATTCCAGATGCCTTTTTAAAAAACTTTCTGGGGCCTGGGGCTGTGGCTCAGTGGTAGAGTACTTGCCTCACACATGTGGGGCACTGGGTTCGATCCTCCACACCACATAAAAATAATAAATAAATAAAGATATTTAAAACAAACAAACAAAAACTTTTGGTAGTACTGGGGACTCAATCCAGGGTGCTCTACCACTTAGTCACACCCCAGCCCTTTTTTATTTTCAGACAGGGTTTTGCTAAGATGCTAACACTGGCCTTCAATTTAGGATTCTGTTACCTTAGCCTCACAAGTCACTAGGATTTTAGGTGTATACCACCATGCCAAGCTTAAGAGCATTTTGGATTTTCAGATTTAAGGAAGCTTAATCTGTACCTGATTTTTTGTTTTTGCAGGAACAGGTACAGGAGATTGAACCCAGGGGTGCTTTACCCCTGAGTCACATGGAGACAGGGTGTCACCAAGTTGCTTCTTCACTAAGATGCTGAGGCTGGCTTTGAACTAGAGATCCTTATGCCTCAGCCTTCCAAGCTACTGGGATTACAAGCACGTGCCACTATGCCCAGCTCCTCATATATTTATATTTTGAAATGATTTCTTTTTACTTTAACATGACTACTAGAAAACTTAAAATTATGTATGCAGCTCCACTATTTCTACTGGACGGTGCTACACTAGATTAAGTAGTGGTTAAAACTAAATAACTTACTTTGAAAGAAATCTTTAAGTTCTGATTTGTCCACTTCATGAGGCAGGTTGCCAATGAAGAGTTGGTGACTATCAGGATGTCTCACAATTCTTCGGGGCTCAATATCACCTTGCTCACCAGCCTCACGGACTTAAGAGACAAAAACAACAAGGAAAGACTAGAGAAAGACCTTTCAGGGACTATTCATAAGCAACACTTCTATTACTCCACAGTAAAAAATACTAAAATATCAATGTCTCCCAAGTTGTCATCTCAAAAATCACACAAACTAGAGAAATTACCCAATTCAGCTCTTACTTGGTCTGGGTCCCCTCTGAGGAGGAATATTTATTCGTTGCTCTCGTACTCGTTGATCCCTCTGAGGCCTCTGTGGTGGAATCTGAGATTCAGGCTTAGACTCTGGACGGGGCTAAAATATTTACAAGTTAAGTTTTGTCTAAAAACAAAGCAGGCTCATATTTTTTCCTGTGAACTTTTTAAACTAACAATAAGGTTCAAAGTAAAATATGACAGTTCCCTCAAAAAAAAAAATCATTAAAAAACAACTATATGCCAGTTCCTGTTCTCTAAACCTCTGTTGAGTCGTATTAATTTGCCTCCAGTCAGAGCCTTACCTGTGAAGCTGGTACTTTAACTACGTGAGGTGGTATTCCAGTAACAGGAACAGCTCCACTGGGAGGAAGGTTCTTACTGGTCACAGATGCCCAAGAAAATGTCTAAGGGACCAATGTTACATGATTACATTACTTATCAAAACAACATAAAAGCTATCAACTTTTGATTTCCTGTGCATAATGTATGTATCACATTCTCATAGATAGAATGGAGACTATAAACATCTTGCAATTTCTTTCCTTCATCTACTCACAAATTTAGAACTAAAACTCCTTGAACTAATGATCAAGTTAAAGTCAAAGATGAAAAGATTAGGGATAAAGAAACTACTTTTAGTCAATCTGAAGATATATACACACACTCACACACACACATCATATATGTACATGGATAATCCTCAACTAGATTTCACTGTTATTTTCATTAAACTGATGTTTGCATTTATATTGTGCTATAATACTAAAATAATGATTTACAATTTAAGAAGGATCACTAAGTTTGAGGCCAGTCTCAACAACTTAATGGGATCCTGTCTCAAAATAAATAAATAAATGAATAAACAAAAACAGCTAGGAATGCACCTCCATGGGTAAAAGCGTCCATGGGTTCAATCCCCAATTCCACCACTAAAAAAAAAAGATGAAGTATCAAAAGACTAGAGATTGTTGATAATGACTGACAAAAATGGAACTTACCATTTGAATACCTAAGAGGCATTCAAGCTACCTTTGAGGGGGTGGGAACCACAGGCGATTTCTTTTGATGTTACAAAGTGACAGGCATCATGCCTCTTATCTGAGACATGGCCTAGTATGTAAGAAATTTCCCTAAACCAATAGGAAATGCATCAACAAGGTTAACAAAGCAACTAAAAAAGGAGAAAAGAGTTTTTTAAAAAGTAAAAATAGAATAAAGATGAAGACATGTTCCTTACCCTCAAGTCTTCCTGTACTGTTTGAGCTATATCTGTAGGTGCTGGAGAAGAACTCTTCTGAGCATCCTCAGGAGCAGGTTCTTCTAATACCGGCTCAGACTTTTCCTCTTGGATTTCAGATGCGGGTTCTTGCTCTGGTTCTGGTTCAGGATCAGGCTCTGGTTCAGCAACAGGCTCCTCTAAATGTTCTTCCAAGTCATTGCTTTCACAGGAAAATTTGAGAAATATAATTCTGCCTCCACCGACTTAGAAATTATTATTTTTTTTTTTTTGGGGGGGGGATACCAGGGATTGAACCAGAGGAGCTTAAACACTGAGCCACATCCTCAGCCTTTTTTACATTTTATTTAGAGACAGGGTCTCAATGAGTTGCTTATTGTCTCACTAATTTGCTGAGGCTGCCTTTGAACTTACAATCCTCCTGCCTCAGCCTCCCAGGCCACTGGAATTAGACATGTGGCACAGCATCTGGCAGAAATTCTTAATAATATATTAACCATGGAAAAAACTTCTCTCAGGGAGGAGGCTAGAGCTTGATGGTGAAGCACATGCATAGGATGAGCAAGGCCTGGGTTGTATCTCCAGCACAAAAAAAATAAAAATGTATCCCTCTTTTCAAAAAAGATAAAAGAAGCAAGTTTAGGGGGCTGGGGTTGTGGCTCAGTGGTTGTGGCTCACTCGCCTAGCTCGGGTTCGATCCTCAGCACCACATAAAAATAGATTATAAATATTAATAATTATAATTATTAATAATTAATAAATATTTAAAAAGAAGCAAGTTTAAAAAGTTATTTGCTCAAATTCAAGCCAAAATATTTGCTCAAATTCATTCAAAACAAATGAAAAATTTTCTCATCCTATAGAAATTCTAAAAGTATTGCCATTTACTTATCACACATCACAAAATCTCTCATACCTAATGGGCTGGGGGAAGAGGGAAAGAGGAAGTTGCTGTTCTTAAAATCTATAGTTTGTTTTGCACATTGAATGAAAAGTTCTAGAGATCTTTCATACATCTATGTGCACCTTGTTAAGACAACTGTACCTCATACTTAACACCTCATACTTAAACTCTCATAAAAACACATAAGAAATTTTAGGAGAAATAAAAGATAGTTGTAATTCAGAACAGTTATTAAATTTCCACATAAATCACTAGTAATGCTGTTAAAACTGCAAGTGTATGCTGAGGCTGTAGCTCAGTGGCAGAGCACTTGCTTAGCATCTGTGAAGCACTGGGTTGGATCCTTAACGCCACATAAAAATAAACAAATAAAATAAAGGCATTCTCTCCATCTACAACTACAATAAATAAATAAATAATTTTTTTAAAAAACTGCAGGTGTTTTTCCTCCTGAAATTCTAATTCAGCAGATTTGTGGCATGACCACAAATCTTCATTTTTAACCAGCAATCCAAGTGAGTAATATTGTTAGACCATCATCACATTTTGATAAACAACTGAAAATATTTATTATAATTTTTTGACATTAATTAATATTAAGCACTGAATATAACATTTAGGATGTCTCATGGCAACATCATTTCAATCCCTATCAAACACATTTCTGTCCCAAGCACAAAAATAAAAAACCCTAAAATATAATGACATATTTGGCATCTGAGGTGGTAAAATTCTTTATTTCTACTTAGTTCACATATTTTAATTTATACCTGGTTACTCAGTACTTAACACTTTATATTTCCCCAAAAGCATTTAATGAAATACCTTGATTTAGTGAACTATTGATAAGAAATATTCAAAAATTTGTACTTACCACCAAGAAAAAACTAAACCAAAAAGTAACTGATTGGTACTATTCAAACAGTCCTCATAGAACACTCTACTATTAATAAACATCATTTTTTTTCATTTTGTCAGAGATACCAAAGCCAAATCATTCTTCTAGAAAATTATAATTTGATATCAAATCTGAGAAGGTATGATTGCTCTCTAACAAAGAGACAGATAATGCAATTTCTTATGTAGCCCTGGACATGTAAACAAAAGTTTCCTTACCTGACAGTCTGATCATAGAAAGTTCCAGAATCATCAGGTACCACCTCAGGTGTTTGCTGTCTTTCTTCAGGCTCCTCTACTTCTTCCTCAGATTCTGAGGAAAAGAAATTTAAAACATAATTTGTGCTTACCTAATTTTCAGTTCATTATAATGTCTACTACAGGAGATTCATATCTTTTAAACTGATTTTACCAATAAAGATGAGAATGGGAAAACAATGTCTACTATTTAAAAAAAAAATAAAAGAAAGAGAAAATGAGGTCATAAAGGGAAACATACATAGGGCAATTTGATAAAATCATGACACAGATTTGAAGGACAGATTAGTGTCTTGGTTAACACAGAATATGAGGTCATATTTCAATAATCTAATGTACCTTACTAGCTACCACTACCTTAGGTAAACTAGTATATCTCAATACCCTAATGTACTTTATTGGAGAAACAGTACCTAAAGTACTGTCTATAAGGTGTATATTACATAATAAATGTAAAGCACTTAGAACAGTCTGAGCCATGTAATAAAATTCAAACACTATCCATTGATCTGCTTTTGCACTTAATCCACAGCTATCCTTTCTTTCAGGCTAATTTTCAAGAATATTTGTATAGCAAACAGCCTTAGAAAAAAGTATTCCTCAAGAGCAAAGGAGAGGCATGTTACTGCCTAGAAAAGATTTGGTTTCCCTGAAATAAGGGTTTCACACCTTTAACAACCCACTGCAATGCATATATCATGAGACCTTCTTCATGGGGTCCTATGGGAACTAAAGCAAAAATGCTACTATTGGCTGCTGAGAATGATAATCTACTTCTGACCTTAGAGTCAGGTCGACTCCCAACCTCCATGAAAAAAGCTAATCAATTAGCATCCAACAAGGGTAAAAGCTGAGATTCTTCTTGTCTTAACAAATACTACTTAATCACAATAAAGAACCAACAAAACTATTCAATAAACCCATTATTCCCTAAAGGTCCATCAGATGTTGTTTAAAATGTTTAGATAAGTAACGTACAGTGCTTCACTACTTACCCTCCTGAGGCTCAGTGACAAAGCCACCAAAGACCTCATCTTGGTATCTGAAGATATCATTATGAACATAGAATTTATTTGCAACAGAGCCCTGCAATGCCAACAAAAAGTTTTAATTTATACAACAGACTTTCAAAGAGCCAAATAACTACACCAGTGTTCTAAACTAGCAGGAGATACTTGGCAATGTCTGGAGACATTTTAGTTTTCATGACTGGTACAATCACTTTACAACTATTAAGCAGAGTGCAGGGATGAACAAGATAGCCCCCAAAACAAAGAATTAGTTAACCCAAAACGCCAAAAGTACCAAGATTAAAAAGTCATGCTTTATACTACAGTTATTTTAAAAACTATATTCTAATACATTTTATTTGTTCAAAACATTTATCCTCATCACCAGATGAATACCAAAAAAAAAAGATTAAAAACTCTAAAGTATGTAAGATGCAAAAGCTACCACCTCAAATCATTAGGCAATTAGATATTTAAAAGTCCCTATATCTGCATCCAAAAATATTCATTCTAACATTCCAGGGTGGTTTAGCTAAGGGGAAAAAAATTGCTCACATTATGTCTAAGACATATCCAAGTCCAAATCCAGTTATGTTATTTAGTGGTTACTCAATTTCAAAGCTGTTCCCTCATCCATAAAAAAAGATCAACATATATACCTCAGTGCATGTGTTCTCAAAGTTTATAAAACAATGCATTATGTTAACATAGAAGAGTCATCCCTTTAGAGTCTGATGTATAAAAATGAATAAAAAATTTAAAATAAACTTTTCCCTTTAAAGGGAAAAAAAAAGCTATACACCCCAATGCAATTCTTCACACATTTAAAAGTCCTTCAAATATTTTTTTTTTTTGGGGGGGGGTGGTACTGGAGATTAAAAACAGGGGCACTTAACCAGTGAGCCATATCCTAGGCTCCTTTTTATATCTCATTTAGAGATGGTGTCTTATGAGTTGCTTAGGGCCTCGCTAAGTTGCCGAGGCTGGCTTTGAACTTATGATACTTTGGCTTCAGCCTTCTGAACTGCTGGGATTACAGGTGTATACCACTCACTATACCTGGCTAGAATAGAAGTCCTTCAAATCTTTACCCTTCAATATAACCCTCCGTTTAAAAGATGACTAAAATGATTTCATGTAACTTTTTCAAATAGACAAAAATACTCTCTTCTCAGTAAAAATATAGTATTGCATTTATTATTCTAAATATTAAAAATTATTTTAAAGATTTTAATACTAAAAAATAATGGTCATTTTTTCATCAAGTTTTTAATGAGCCACTTCTACATATTTAAGCAGACATGATTCTTGACTGTGATCAATCTGGAAGACTTTCATGATAAGCCTAACTACAAAGAACTAGGGTTCCTTGAAGAAACAGCTGATTCTAGAATTGTGCTAAAGCAGGGTCTGTGCAAGCTGAGCCCAGAATATTTTGCTCCACAATGTTACAAAGTGGACCCCCCTCAAAAAACAAACAAACAAAAAAGACACAAAAGAAGCTTGAAGGGGTTCCCTCTGCTTGGATCTGGAACATTTTAGACATGACAGTAACAGATTACAACTCATTAAATAAACTAAAAATCTACAAATGATTAACAGATAAGAAAGAGAAAGTCCTTTATAGCAGGATGCCAACTAATAGGGGATTAGATAAACTCAATTTGTCACCATCAAAATAGCAACTGATTTCAACCAAAAATCAATGATTGCTAAAGTTAGCATACAAGTTGATAAGTAACAGGATACAAATCTCAAAACAATCTGCACAATGCATAAATCAGAAAAGGAAAAATACTTAACAACACAGTAGCAAAACCTAGTGAACATCACCTTACATAAGGTTAACATCATTAATAAAAGTAAATAACAGGGCTGGGGTTGTGGCTCAGTGGTAGAGCACCTGCCTGGCATGTGTGAAGCACTAGGTTCAATTCTCAGCACCGCATACAAACTAATAAAATAAAGGTCCAGCAACTAAAATATATAAAAAATTGAAAGACCCCTCCTCCCCTGCCCATCTTAAAACAAAACAAAAAAAACAACTAAATGACATCATATGCCTCTTTGAGGTACTAAAAGATACTTAAGTAAGAAGTGTTTACAAAATAACATGACCGTTCTCGAAAAACATCACTGCCATGAAAAATAAAAGATTAAGAAACTACTACAGGGGCTGGGGATGTGGCTCAAGCGGTAGCGTGCTTGCCTGGCATGCGTGGGGCGCTGGGTTCGATCCTCAGCACCACATACAAATAAAATAAAGATGCTGTGTCCACCAAAAACTAAAAAATAAATATTAAAAAAAAAAGAAACTACTACACATTAAGAGACTAGAGACACATTATAGCTAAAAGCAATGTATATCTGTGTATTGAATCTTGGACCTGGAAAAAAAAAATCACCATGAAGTTCAATATTGGTGTGTTTTCTGAAATTCAAATATGGACTACAGAATGATAGTAACATTACATCAATATTTCCTGAATTTAATTACTGCACTATGATTACAGGACAGAATTCCTTATTCTTAGAAATTGCCCACTTAAGCTGGGAAGGTTGTGTGGTAAATCCCTTGCCTAACACAAGCAAAGACCTGGGTTCTTCCCCCAGCACCACAAAAGGAAGAACAAAATCAACATGCAAGTATTTAAAACAAAAAGAAAGAAAGAAAAAAGAAAATAAATGCCCACATAAGCATCTGAGCATGACTAGAAATGTCTTAAACTTCTTTTCAAATGATTTAGAAGAGGAAACCTTTTTAGGGATACCTAAAAAAAAAAAATTATAGGCTGGAGATGTAGTGCAATAATAGAGTGCTTGACTAGCATGGGCAAAGCCCTGTGTTCAATTTCCAGCATTACAAAAAAAAAAAAAAAAAACAACACAACCCACCATAAGTGGGCAAGTATTGACAGTAACTCTATAGCTATAGGTAAGGTTTACATAAGCATTGCTGCCCTATTCTGACAACTCAATGTTTGAAAGTTCAAAAACAATTTAAAGATATGCAAAACCTTTCATTTTTTCCCCACATTATTTCACTACTAAACATACCTCCGGGGCAAGGACAAATGTTTGCATGAATCTCCGCAAAGCCTGGTTGTTGTTTGATAAAAGACCCATCACCTGGACCACCACACCATCATTTAGAGTAGCATGAGCATCAACATGGCGAATCTTAGTGTGGCAGTTGGTGAAGTTTTGTGACATCACCTTCCTGTGAATTTCCTAAGGAATCAAGGCCAGTAGTTAATGCCTTCAATTTTACACCTTCAAAATATCCCCAAATTTCCTAACACAACATAGATAAAAGAGTATATACATGTTAGTTACAACAAGAGTTTTTTTTTTTTTTTTTTTTTTTTTATTACTCTATTCCCAGTGAGTTGACTTGGATCCTTTAAAATAAATGTCCTGGATTAACACTTTTAAAAGCTTAGAAAACATGATCCCAGGCTAAAAGCAACTATATTCTAACATACAAAGCATTCAGAATATATCATCCAATGTGAACAAATGAAAATCACAGGCCATTCAACAACTATCATATTTATAAAATAGTAACTACCTAAACTTCTATTACAATGTTGCAAAATTCAATTTTTCAGTATTATCAAATGTACTAAGCATGTATCTACCTCAACTTTATTATAGGTTGGTTTCTAGATACTTCCAGACCCAAATAAAACTTGTACTTACTTTCTGTCCATAGACTGCATCTGCTGGCTTTCCATTTGAATCCAATCCCCCATGAACATAGGAAGAGTTCTTTCCATAAAATCTGTATCACAGGAAGATAATTTATTTTCTATCTTTAAGTACCCTAACAGTAAGTATTTATTTTTCACATTATAAATCTACTTCACTGGCTGATTATTGAAGGCAGGAATGTGTTTTCTTTCTTTATCTATATGCAATCATCTATCCATCCCCTCCATGCCATTCAGTTAACATTTTCTGAATAGGAATGGATTTGGTTAAGTGAGGCAGAACACTTATTTTCCAAGTGGTAACTTCCACATTTCAGGATTATCATGTTGGAAAAGATCTTACAGTTCATGTCAGAAAGATCAGTCACTTAAACTTAAGATTCTGTTTTCACTAGGAGGAAGAAAACAGCAGTTGGGCTGGGGACAGCCACATTCTCCATAGGCTTGATGAGTCCTTTTAGATTTCAGAATGCATGAGCAGTTCCTATTAATTACTTGCAAACTCACACAGGCAGTTTTAGAAGTTTTTAACAATTTCTGCTGATGCAGTAAGAACTTTTAATTTCCTGTAGTTTTCGTTCATCTGTATCTTCAAATACCGTTTTCACTACAATATTCTACCATACACACACACACAAATGCCCCCAAACTAGGCAAAAATCACTATTAAATATTTTTTGTTATCTGTCTTCCAGATAAGTATATTTTTTGAATAAATAAGCCCATACATATTATTTTATATCCTGACTCCACTCCCCAACCCCCAAAAAAGGAATAGGTCTGGAATCACTAGAATAAGTCTTCCTTTTAAAGCTACTAAGAAGATGTACATGTGTCAGAATCCATTCACTACTGGCTAAGCCACTTTTCATTCTAAGATGTGCCTATGTACTTCAGAAATTAAAAAAAAAAAAGTGGGAAGGAAAAAAACAGCCTTAGAATGACAATATTGGCAAGAAAATACATTAATGCATTTGATTAGTTTCTTTAAATTCTTGCTTCTTTTTAAACTCCAAGTTTAACTAACTTCTAAGGACAGAAAATAATAAAACTTTCATAAAACAATGAACAGGAAGAATAAAAACCGATTTGGGGACTTGTTCTACCACTTAATAGACATGAGAATAATACTAGCAAATTTTTAATTTCTCTGAGCTTCTACATCCACAAAGTGAAGTTAATACCTTAATGCCTTACTGAAAAGTTTTTGTAGGTAAAGTATAAAGTGCTTGGAAATGATAAAACCTTAAAAAAAATTTTGTTTCCATTTTCAGTGTAAAGCCAAACCAGGTATTAAGACTGAATTTAGGGCTGGGGATGTGGCTCAAGCGGTAACGCGCTCGCCTGACATGCGTGCGGCCTGGGTTCGATCCTCAGCACCACATACAAATAAAGATGTTGTGTCTGCCGAAAACTAAAAAAAAAAAAAAAAAAAATTAAAAAAAAAAAAAGAATGAATTTATAGGGCAGGGGTTGTGGCTCAGAGGTAGAGATCTTGCCTTGCACATGTGAGGAACTGGGTTTGATCCTTAGCACCATATAAAAATAAACAAAACAAAGGTATTGTGTCCATCTACAACTAAAAGAAATTTTTAAAAAGGATGAATTTATAGGGGCTGGGGATATAGCCCAGTTGGTAGAGTGCTTGCCTCACATGCACAAGGCCCTGGTTCAATCCCCAACACCACCACCAAAAAAAAAAAAGAATGAATTTATAAACCAGGCACATTGGCACACACCTGTAATCTCAGAGGCCTGGGAGGCTTGAGACAGGAAGATCAAGAGTTCAAAGCCAACCTCAGCAACTTAGTGAGGTTCTAAGCAACTTAACAAGACCCTATCTCAAAAAATAAAAAGGGCTGGGGATGTGGCTCAGTGGTTAGGTACTCCTGAGTTCAATCTCCACTACCAAAACAAAAAACCAATCTGTAAATTTTCCTCATAACCATGTAATATTGAATATGTAAGTTGGCCACCGTACAAAGGAAAAAACAGTTCTGGCCAAACAAATATACATTTTGGAAATTATATGAAATTATTCTAACAAGTCCACATCAATAGTTTTGTATAATGTAACACTGTTTATAAAAGTATATACTGGAAGCACCCTTCATCATTAGGAAATTAAAACATACTACATCTCTATAAAATAATCTGTCATAACTAAAATTAAGTGATACATGTACTACCATTAAAGATGACCTTAGATTACCAAGCAAAATAAGCTAAAAGAGTTTGTTAACAGAGTTTATTAAAACATGTTTGCATATACAAAAAAAAGATTTTAGTATGCTATTACCAAATATTTTCACGATTTGTTTTTGTTTTTCTGGTTTTTGCAATGCTAGGAATCAAACTGATGGCCTCTTATATGCTAAGGCAAGCGCTCTACCACTGAACCTAGATCTTCTTAAATATAGTCTTAATAAGTGAGATTATAACATTTGTAAAATTTAGTTAATAGTTCTTTTTAAATACTACTTAGAAATTCTTTTAAATTTTATAATTTTAACATCCAGTACTTACAGGTACTTATGTAAAAGCACTGTTATACAACAACCTCATAAGAAATATGCTGCTGAATGGAAAAATCTCACGTATAAGCACCACACGCTATAAAGAAAGAATTAGATGAATAACTTCTTACCTATGTAGCATGTCTGGGGCCTGGTTCAGCAGTGTGTAATACTGTCTCACAAACTCCCGCCCGACCAGCAGGGGACTAGGCTTCTCCATAACCATTGCTTTGGTCAATTCAACCTGGGGGGGTAGGGATGGGGATAAACATTAAAAAAACAAAACCCACACATACCAGGTGACATTTTACACATTCAAATTTACTAAAATCAGATGAACATATGTGAAGGAAAAGTCACTATGAAGAATTCACCACTGGGGCTGGGGTTGTGGCTCTAAGGTAAAGCACTTGCCTAGCATGAGGGAGGCACTGGGTTCAATCTTCAGCACCACATGAAAATAAAGACATTGTGTCCAACCATAATTAAAACATAAATATTAAAAAACTTTTTAAAAATAAAAAAGAATTCACCATTGTTCCCAAAATTCAATTTCCTTAACTGGATAAAATAACCTCAATATACACCCTACCATAATTTTCTTGAGTTAGTAAGTACACAAAAAACTATGCTGTATTATATGCATGTACATATATGTAGCAACTAATCCTGTCATTATGTGCATCTATAATGCACCAATAAAATAATGTGAGGAAGGGGCTGGGGCTATAGCTCAATAGTAGAGCACTTGTCCAGCACATGTGAGGCCCTAGGTTTGATCCTCAGCACCACAAAAAAAATAAATAAATAAAAGTATTGTGTCCATCTACAACTAAAACAAATAAAATGAAAGAAAAAGTGAAGGGGAAAAAACCAGCATTCTAATTGCAAAATCATAAACACATTCTTATTGTGGCAATAGAAGATTCAAGGACAATAACCTTAATATGGCTTTAACATCCAGGTACAACCTATCACACCTTCAACTCCATCTAAATCAGATAACCTTTAATATTATTTAAAAATAGAAACTATATATGTGTAATAATATGATGCATTTTGCTGTCATGTATTTAAAAAATAAAACCAATTAAAAAATAGAAACTTTAAAATCAAGATTTCTAAATGTACTTATTAGCTCATCTTATAATGGAAACAAAAAGACTATAAAAATCAAATGGGATAAAGTTAACAAGACGTTTTTACTCAGCAAAATAATTCCTACTACTCAAAATAATCAAGAAGGTTTGCAGGTAATACCTATGAATATTTAGATACTTATCAAGTTCTCAATTATTGCCAAGTATTACCAAAAATGACTTTCAGAAAAATCTGATATTCTGACTTTTTATTTAAAACTGGAAAGAAAACCATTCTCAACTTACACAAATATACACACATACACACACATTAACCTAATTATGATATGCAAAAGGAGAAGAACTTTATTTTATATTTTAAAAAGATGGGCAAAATGGATTTTTCCCCTTCCCAGAACAAGGGACTGAACCCATGTACGCGCACATGCTAGGTCAAGTGCTCTACCATTGATCTACATCCCAGCCCCTTTTCTTCAATTTTTTTAGACTAGGTCTTAAGTTGCAGAGGCAGCATAAAACTTGTGATCTTCCTGCCTCAGCTCCCAAGTTGCTGGATTACAAGGTGCATACTACCATGCACAGCAAAATGGATTGATAAATTTCTGAATAAACGATTTGTTTGCCCTAAAATCTAGTTTGTTTATTTAATAGATAATCTTGCTATGTTTTTCAGGCTAGCCTCAAACTCTTGGTGCAAGCTCAAACTCCTTGACAAATAATCCTCCCACCTCAACCTCGTAAGCAGCTAGGATGAAAGGAGCAGCACTGAACATGGCTCTTGCATCATTCTTGAAGAGCTGTCCCCACTTACTACTTGCTTCACCAAAATCTATATCAGTCCTAAGACTGTTCTTCATTTTCCCCAAATTACAGTCCCTCAACATGGATCAGCTTTCATAATAGGAAAATATATTGCCTTCAGGCATGGTTATCAAGATACCAGAAACAAAACTCTGGAACTGAAGTATTAAACTAATAAACTATCAACCTGAAGCAGAACGAGAGCCATATCCTTCACCTGTCTCTTGATCTAAAATAATTCCAGCGGGGCTTAGTGGCACACACATATCCCAGTAGCGTGGGAGGCTGAGAAGCAGAAAGCCAACTTCAACAACTTGTCAAGGCCCAGAGCAACTTAGTGAGACTCTGTCTCAAAATTTAAAAATTGAAAAAAGGGGTCTGGGGATGTATCCGTGTACCTCTGGATTCAATCCCCAGTATCAAAAAATAAAATAAAAATTTGAAAAATAAAATAATTTCAGGTTTTCTTATAGATCCCAGAATTTAAAGATATCTGGACATTAGAGATTCTTAGTTATCTATCTATAGCCTGTGGTTTCCAAGATTTAGATTTCCCCTTGCCGCACTTACACGAAAGCAATTTCACCTATTTATATATAAAAATTCCTTCTGTAAGGTTTCCTTTCTTAAAAGGGGTTCAGAGGGGTTAGTGGTATAGCTCAAAGGTAGAACACTTGCTTAATACGCCTGACACCCTGGGTTGGATTACAGCACCACAAACAATTCAGAGGGAAAAAAATTCCTAAAATTAAGATAATTTCAAGGACCTGGGTTCAATCCCAGCACAACAAAAGGGGAGGGGAAATTAGCTACTCTCATTCAGGATTAGCATCTAACCCAAACAGATGAACAGGAAAAAAAACACTGTGATTATGTTATACTCTCAGACCTCACAACTAGTTTCAGAAATGAAGCAGATCTCTCTATCTCAGAAAAGGTAAAATATTTTCATTCCAACAAATTGCACTGTTATATTTATATAAAAAGGCTGAACATCAAGTTTTGCTTTCCTGTCTTATTCAAAATACATACTATATCCACAATATAAAAAGTAATTCAAAAGGCACCTTCTTCACAGGATAAAAGAAATCAGAAGCTGGTCATGGTGGTACATACCTATAATCCCAGTGACTAGGAAGGATGAGTGAGATGCAGGAGGATTGCAAGTTGGAGGCCACCCTCTGCAAATAAGTGAGACCTGGATTCCTTAGAAAACTTGGAATGGAACCACCATTTGATCCAGCTATGCCACTCCTTAGTATATACCCAAGGACTTAAAACTCAGCATATTAAGTGATGCAGCCACATCAGTGTTTATAGCAGCTAAACTCACAATAGCTGAACTATGGAACCAACTTAAGTATCCTTCAACAGATGAATGGATAAAGAAAATGTGTATACATACACAATAGAATATTACTCAGCCTTAAAGAATAAAATGGTGGCATATGTGGGTAAGTGGGGCTAAGTGGGGTGAAGCTGTTCTAAGCAAAATAAGCCAATCCTAAAAAAACAAATGTTTTCTCTAATATGCAGATGCTAATTCACAATAAGGGGGTGGAGGCTAAGGAAGAATAGAGTTACTCTGGATTAGGCGGAGAGGAGGGGGGAAAAGGGAGGGAATATGAGGGTAGGAAGGAGAGTAGAATGAATTGGACAATGTTATTACCCTATGTGTTTATATGACTACCCTATGGGTATATGTGTGACTCTATATCATGTACAACCACAAGAATAAGAAATTATACTCCATTTATGTACAAGGTATCAAAGTGCATTCTACTGTCATGTGTAACTAATTAGAACAAATAAAAAGGGCCAGGTGCTTAGTAACTATTTTCATGTCCAGCCAAGATGTAGAGATTGCTGTGTGCTATAGGATTTTCTGTTGGCCTATTTTTCAAAACGACAAACCCGTCTGATCCAAAATAAGTGGGAAACTGGTTTACCTATTATGGGTTATATCTCAAATGATCTGTACATTTGGGTAGAACTCAATATTTTCTGTAGCTGGAAACTGCTAGTCTATCTCCTGTCACTATGTGGTAGTTACCTCAAGTCACAAGAAGTCATTTTCTTGCCTTCGATATAGAGCCTAAAGGATTTTGATTGTATGAGAGTAGTAGTAATTCATACAGTGTTATTTAGGAATTTATATTATGATGTAATTGGTATACTAATTATGTTTCAATAAAAGCTATGAGATGAATAGTCCTCTAGTTCCCAGAAACAGTCTTTAAAAAAAAAAAAGTAACAAAGATGCCATGGTATTTTTAGATAACTCGAGATTATATTTGATTTAGTGACCATTTTATCATTTTATACTATGCCTTATTCTTTATTAATGAACACACTTTGATTAAAAAAATTATCAAATGACTTTTCACTTATTAAAAAAGGGGGGGTGGGACAAGGATGTGACTCAGTGGTGGAGTGCCCTGTATTCAATCCATAGAACTGTAAAAAAATTTAAAAATTAAAAAAAAAAAATCAGTAATTTACTTAATATGTACCTTTTTCCCCTTTACTCTCAGTACATTCTTCACCACTATCTGCTCTTCTTCCCTAGTTCATGTAACAAAACACGATTAGTATACCAATTACATCACAATATAAATTCCTAAATAACACCGTATCAATTACTGCTACTCTCATACAATCAAAATCCTTTAGGCTCTACATCAAAGGCAAGAAAATGTTAAAATACACACACACAACACACACACACACATGCGATCTGCTTTATTTGGGGTTGAAACTGTCAACTTTAGAAACACAAAAAAACCATTAGCCAAACCAAATTGTAACACTGTACTACTGAAGTTGCAGAAGTCTCAACATCAGGCTTGACTGAAATACCCTTGTATATTCCCATTTACAGTATAAACATTATTAGTTCCATGTGAATGGCAGCTAGCTCCTAAAGTCTCTCATTTAAGCTCCTTAATAAATATTGTTCCAACAGGGTGTGGTGGCACACACCTGTAATTCCATCAACTCGGGAGGCTGATGCAGGAGGATCACCAAGTTCAAAGCCCACCTTAGCAATTTAGTGAAGCCCTAAGCAACTTGGCAAGATCATCTCCAAAAATAAAAGGGGTTGGGGATGTGGCTCAGTGATTCAGTGCCTCTGGGTTCAATTAGTGGTACCTAAATAAATAAATATTGCTCCAAAGAGCTCAAGGGAAATGGTAGTGGTTATTTAGAATATTCCACATAGGGTAGATATAGACAGCAGGTTTATTTTCTAGGTCCTAGCGCTAAAAAAAATCCCCAGTCAAAAAAAAGGGGGGGTGGGTGGGGGGGAACCTAACATAATGAAAGACTGAAAGATTATCCTAAA